AGGCGTTTGAGGGTTTGGATTTAAGAAGGATGATTATGTATCACCTTGTTTATTGACCTGTCCAAGGTATTTGACACTGGATCAGTTTTCACTAAAAGAGTGACACCACTTAGCAAAGCATCTCCAGGTTATCTCAGTAAGTAGATATGCTCTGATGGCTGGAGTTAGTTCCACCTTTCCTAAGTTTAAAAACCTTTAGGCTCAGCTTTAGAACCCATCCTGTTCACATTAAAGATTTATTTGAAAAAAATTGAACTGTTTTTGAATGTTCCCTCTGAAAAGATTCCTTTTATCAGAACTTCCTGAAACAAAACCACTGAGTTGGTCACCAGCTACGGGTATTTTCTTCCTTTCAAAGTTCGTGTAAACACATTAACAAATTCAGTTAAGGGCTCCTTAAATAAAGACATTCTTAAAGTCGTAGGGAAATTATACTTAAATGTTCAATCATTCTGGCTTAAAATGTATATAAATTTACTCTTTATCAGACGATATTTGTCCCAAAATTTAGAAAATTTCTATTTAAAAAAAAATCCTGTCCTAAAATCTGTAGGTTTTTTTCCGTTATCTTATGCAGGCCGGTTAGTTATACATCAGCCTTAACACCTAAATTCAGCCATTCATATATCAACGGTCATCTGTTAATCAAATTTTTTCGGTCATAGAATCTTGATTCATATGTCGCAGCTAATATACGCTGAAATGAGAATAATTTCCTTTCCCATTGAGTTCCGTCCCAGTGTTCACGGGGATGAACGTCTGTGTCTTCAGCAGGCGTAGAGCTAACAGAACTGGCAGCGTTGCGAGGCAAGGGCTCAAACATGTACGGCTGTAAGCCTTCTACACCAAACCAAGCTTCTGCCGCCCTGGCGTCCTCTTCCACAACATCTTCATCCCCGCTTTCCTCCTCTAAATAAAAAATGTATGATGGAGGAGACTCATCCACGACCTCCGACACTAAACTCTCCTCCTCTTGCATGTTTCCTCTGTCCATAGCGTTCCTTGACAGTGTCGTTTCTAAGTCGCCAATTTAGTGCTACTTGGTCCCAATAGAATTTCCCATTGGGAACCTGCTAGCACTAAGTTGGTTAACTGGTTAGCAAGATGCTTCCGAGAAACCGGCCACAACCAATCTTGCTTACAAACCTTTCGCCACAATGATTAAGAAACGACCAATCACATTCACTTTATTCACTCGTGTAAAGTCGTGCACGACTCGGGAGAATTTGGAAATGCAATAGTTGGAATAGGCGCTTCCCTACGACTTTTATCTTAAATTGATACTCTAACATCAACCCTTCAACTATATTGCTTCACACTTCATATTCTTCATGTTTGATATTGTTGCCATTTGCCTTTTATGTTTCGGCCATTAAAAAATGACTGATGTCTGAAACCAAGCATCCATATATTTACCACATTAATGAAATCATGTCAAATAGAGGTGCAACCACTAGTTGGCCTCTCAGAAAAAATATGTAGTAAGCTGATGTGTTTGTCCCCAGCCATCAAAATTTCTTTATTGGAAACAAGCTTTTCACCCAGAATAATAATCTTGGAGCAAATGAAGCAACAACCTAAAGCTAAAGCAAGAAGACCCAATGCATACCATCCGTTCAGGTGTCTGTCTGGGAGCATAAAGCTTTTGTTGTTTCTTCCACAATGTTTACATTTAATCACTGCTGCACTTAAAGAAATGGAAATTTTGTTTTATATACACTCACTTTACACTTGTATACAAAATGACTATAAAGTTTGTCTAAGTCTAGTCTAAGTCTAAAGTTCATCAGGTAAGAAAATATTGTCTTGTTTTGTAAACGTTTCTTAATCAAAGTAATATGAAGGAGGGACTGTCAACTCGATGGGTGTTTTTAGGGTTAAATTACCTCCAGATATTTCTAAAAATTTTATTTAAACTTCAGTAATTGCACATTGTTTTCTGTATTTTGAATGAAAGGTAATAGTCGGTTAAACAAAATCAGTTCAGCCTCTTTTATCTTTATTTACCTCACATCATCTCGAATCTGCATTAATGTCATACAGTATTGATTATTTCTGTATTACATTAATCATTACCTTGAATGAAAACTTAGAAAAAATGGCAAAGAACGATAAAACTCCTCCATTTACAGTAGGTCAAAGGGGATGACTGAGGGTGTCCAAGCCCAACCAGTCGAAAACAGATGCTCTAGATCAGGCTTCCTCAACGCCAGCCCTTGAGTTCCAGTGTTCTGCACCTTTTAGATGCCTCCCTGCTTCCACACAGAAGAATCATATGGCTGATTCACCTCCTCAGCATGTTCTCCAGGGTCTTGCTACTAACCTGGTAACTTGACTCAGAGGTGATGAAGCAGAGACACATGTAGAAGATGCAGGACAGCAGCCTTACAGGAAGAGGCCTTTCTAGAGAGTTCTGGGTCTCCGCCTGTTTCCTGGAGAACAATCCTGACCAGATGCAGGAAACCATCTCAGCTGAATCCTTTCAACGTGGAAAAGCAGGGGCTCTACCCTGGGCTCCTCACTATAGAGTATAAGTCACATTTCAGCCACATTTATCTGGGGTCTCCATCTTTTTTCAGTCCATATCAGCTGTTCTTTAGATCAAAAGCCCCATGGAGGTCAGGAGCCCCACTACTGTCCATCTCCGGCTAACATTGTATAATCACTGGTAAATAAGATACAATGATCCTTCGTCTATGTATTCTAAAGATAATAAAGCTAAAAGGAAACATTGCAATGATGATACAGATAAAAAAAAAATAAGGGAAGGGATGAAGACGATGGAGGAAAGTGACGTGGAGCTGATTGTATGGGAATGAATTAAAGTGGGTGGGTGGGTGTTTGGGCTTTGCATTTGGAGCTGCTGATCAAAGTAGTTCCCACAGGAAATCTGCCTTAATGAGAGCTATACAAGAAAAGAAAGGAGGAAGACGAAGAGAAGAAAAACAGAGACGAAGATGACATGCCATTCTTACACTGAAAAAAGATGAATCATGTATGTGGCCTGCTGTGTGTGTGCTGTAGGTGGGTCTGAGGGTGTTTTCAAGATCGTTTTTAAAGTCCTCACTGTGGGAGCGTCAGAGGCGAGGCCAGGTTAATTAAACCCAGGGGAGACGCCGCCACGGGGCCACGCATCTAAACGTGTCACAGAGATAGCGGGAGTGTCAGCCAAGGCCGGATGGCGCAGCTCGCCGAGCAAATCTGTTGACTTTGCATTATACACCAAAAGGAAGCGAGTGTCAGAGAGAGCGCGCAACGCAGCGGGAGGAGGGGATCATTTACGTGCCACTGATGTTCTGCTCGTCTTTTCCCACCGTGCCGCCGGATTCCTCCAACTTATTAATGTTTGTCATTAGACGCTTTACGCTGGAGGACAGCTAGTGGAAAAACAGGCTGCAGAATCTTTTTTATGGGACAAATATTGACAATAGCTGGCTCCTGGGTATTGGAGAAGAAGGAAAGATGCAAACTATGTTAATGAATGGTAATTAACCGCCAGGGTTTGTCTCTCCTGAATCCCGGCTAAATTGGTCCCCGAGTTGCAGCTGGAGACAGTCCTGGCCTAATCCTTTATTATAAAAAGATAAAGGAAAACGGCATCATTAGCATTTATTTGGGTAGAGAAGTGGGGGTGGGAATAAAAAAAAAAAAAAAGAGGAATTATTTCTTTCTAATTCCTTAACACAGGATTTTAATCACAAAAAGAAAAAAAATAAATTAGAAAGTGGAAGGGAAGAAAAACAGGACAGGAAGGTGTGAAGTAGGGAGTGTTTGGCCTCTTGTTGAGGATAGCAACAAGGACAACCAAGCAGGAGCGTGATTTAATATTCAAAAGGAATAATAAGAGAGGTAGGGAAAGTAGGAGCAGATAAAAGGGATTCAGAGCAGCTTCCCCTTAAACAAAGACCTGCTCTATATGTGTGAACTCATCCAGTCTGTTACTAATGACGTCAACAGCAGGGGTTACTTATTACAGACCGGAACCATGCCAACAGGCAGCTGTCAATCATGAGGCAGGCCCGCGGAGCGCCCTGAGCCGCCACCGTGCACCGACTGACTGAAAACATGCTGCAGCTGTTGGCAAAACATGGTCAGAAAGGGATTTTAATTCACATATTATAAGTATTTAATATAATAAAATGATCTAAAAGCTGTTTAAACAATGCGTTTGATAACTGGTGCCAACCAGGAGTGTTTAGATGTGTAAGAAAAAAAAAAAACTACGATAAATGCGCTTCTTATTCCAATGTTACCATCTCACATAAGAAAAAATAAAAATTTATTCTGAGTACATTTATTCAGTGACACCGACCTACAGTAAGGGAGATAGTTAGGAAGGCAAAATAATCTTTAAAGCTCCCGGTTAGAGAGCTACAGCTGAAAGAGGAATCTTAAGGTCAGAGTCTCCATAACAACCATCAGAAATGTGAGCACCTCTTTGTCTGACTATCAGAAATATTCAGCTAGAGAACTAAAAGTGAAAGTTACCACATCTTAACTGGAGTTTAGACTGGATATATGATCCTTGGTCAGATGGGCTTTTGGGAATGAAACGAATGAGAAGTCCATTCTAAGGTACAGTGGAGGAGTTGTGGTGCTCTGAGCCTGTTTTCCTTCCAATTAATCTGGGAATGTGAAAATACATGCAGTCAAAAACTATCTGAAAATACCCAAACTATACAAAAATGGAGGCCTGAGCCAGGAAATGGGTCGTCACTTCTTACCTCAGAAGGAAGAAGATCCAAACAATGAGTGGAGCTCAGCACAGCAATTCATTATTAGACACAAATCAACCTTCTTTCATGGTCTCCTCAGTCCCCACAGCTAATCACTGCAGAACATGAGGAGGTGAAATAAGGGGAGGAAGGACCAGTAAAGGACAGCGGATCCCCAATAGTCAAAGATCTTTCTCTGCCTGCTGCAGCTTCTAAAAGGCAGGAAGCATCCTGCTCATAAAAACACTTGAATTACCCACAGAAGTTTGGATTTTTTATTTAATAATCAGGGTAGAATGATGATGTTGACATTAAAATAAACAACTTTAAAGCTTTTCACAGGTTTAAAATGCAATTCCATTTCTCTCCATCTGTGTTTCTCTCTGTGTCCTTTTGGCAAAAAGCCTTCAGGAGTCAAATTAAAGGAATAGGAAGGAAACAGAAGGTTTATAAAGGTGTAACTTAAAGATCAGCCTGAGCGTCTGCTGCATTACCCTCCGTTTTCCCCTGACTTCAGGACTGCACCATAAATTAGTTTAGCACCAAGGGGCCTTCATCCGACAGCCGAAGCCCAGTGAGCGCTAACACAGATGTTGAGGGCTCGCTTACAGAAGTCGGGTGCTGGTTGGAACCAGTGGCCCAAAGTTAGTCGACAGCATTTTTCCTCACAAATATTGGTTCTGCCGCCGCGGCTCCGTTTGGCTCTGGCCGACTCCCGCTGAGCAGGAACCAGGCGGTAAACGAAGAAGGAAGGGAGGGGGGAAGCAAAGAGGATGACAGTTTTCCCAGCCTCAGCCCGGGGAGTCAGCTTTTTTCGCTGACTGGTGCTGCGAGCACGGCCAGCTCTTCTGTCAGCACTTTCCTCTCCTTCATCTTCACATGCAGAGCCTCCATTAGCTGGCCGGCAGAGAGGATCTGTAGGGGAGGTGAAGGATAGAAAAAAGGGAATGGGTGTTTAGTGAGAGGAAAATGAGGAAAACACATCATTGCAGAAAACCTTTAAAAAAAATAGGAATTTCTGAATCCTGGCAGGTTATCAGAATCCTTTGGTCTTTCTGGGATAAAAAAAAAAAAAAAACAAAGGAACCCAGACAGATCCAGAGGATGTGTCTGAATCCACAGCAGTTTTTATTTTTACAACTTCTGCTTTACAATCATGCCAAAGATGTCTGTCAAATCCTAAATGAGGGAACCTCTCTGTGGCACAAATAAAGTTTAATATGCAGCCATTTTAACCCCTTAATGTCTGAATCTATCCTCAGATATACCGTTTTATTATCTGTGTGCTGGTGTTAGTCAGATGTTACATTAAACAGATGTTATCAATTAGAATATTACACCTATTATCGGCCTAAATTTAGGTTTGATGACAATTAGCGCTGATAGGCATGTAGAGAATCACCAAAATTTTTATCTCACTATTTAATTAATTCTTTTTTGCTCACACAAGACATATGCAGTAGGTGAAATTACATGTTTTTAAACAAGCATGACCTTTTTTTTATCATCTTAGTGTTTCGAATTGACCCAATTTGTGAAAAGTCGACTCGCTACACAGTCCCTGGAGCTTTTAGGCCATCCTCTGCAATAAGGAAATGTAGATATTGAACAGTGGTGCAGTAGAAATGGATTTACATGTGTTTTTGAACAATCATTGTGTTTTCTTTATGAGTGTTTAAAATATCTGTAAAATTACCTTGTTTTAAAATTCCCTTACAAAAAAGTAAACAAAAAGTGTTAAAAAAAACAAACCAGATCAGATTTAAATCTGGTCTAACAGCGCCTCCTTGCTCTTACATAAATCATGTTTAGTCACAACAACAAAATGATATAAAAGCAATTTTTTTTGGTATCCTCGGTACCAGAGGAAAATGTTTAAACCAATATTTGTATTATACATGAATCAAAACTGGTATGATGCTAATTAGCTTCACCTGTCCATAGGGGGTTAACCCCGCCTGTTAGATGATCCCCTACAAAGAGAGTGAGAAGAAAGGAAGCAAACTGGAAAGAGGCTGCTTAAATAAACATACAGTAGAATATCCAAGGCACCCCCCTAAGGCAGAAATGATCAAATCAATCCTTTAACTGTAGAAAAATGGCGGCTGTTTCCATTTTCTCATTGCAATGAAGACACGTATGTTCCCTGGAAGTCTATTGCTTTTAAAGATAAGCGCCTGAAGGCAGAACTGGGATCACTGGGAACATTTACAGGATTGTTTGTTGTGTGAATCACTGGACGGTGTCAATATTGGGAAGAAGGGAGGACAACTGATGCCCACTGAATCATTCATGATTACAGGAGTTAAACATGAAGGTGTTTCCTGTGTGTCTGCAAGATAGGAATAAAAACATGTAACTGAGGGAGGAGCTGCTATTCTCTGGGGAGGTTTAATTTTTATTCTATTTTTCCAACCGGACACAAGGATTTTATGGTCATTAAATCACTTGATCAAAGCTGACTCACTCCTTTAAGGATAGTCTACCTTCTTAAATAAGGTGAATAAATCACTTTCTAGGACGTTTCCCTGTCACAAGGCATCTGGGAAAATAAAATATCACAACCTCCCTTCAGTTCTAAGCTGCTTGCTTTAAAAAAATCATGATTTTGGCAGCTTGTTCACATTTTTAGGCATGTCCTTAACAACAGGTTGTGGAAAGTTCTCTCTGAAAATAAAAAGGGATTGTTTTTTTTAATCCAGGTTGTATCTGGCAGACACGTCTTCCGTCAACTACCTGCCCAAATGAATTTGATTCAGTAGGACTTAAAGAGGATCTAATAAATCTACAAACACCTGTTAAATCACCAGGTTCAACAATCCTCTGGTGGATCATCGACGTACATCAGGGAGTTCACAAACAATTCATGCAACATACTGACATCTGTGATATTTCTAAACTCCAAAAAACCAACCTATGTGCTAAAGGTTTCTATTCTGACCTGATAACTGCATACTTGTTCTGTAAAGAGTGAGAAATATTCAAAGGATTGCGCTAATAGTTTGATCTTATTTTGATTTCTTCTTTTTTTGGTAATCAACAATTGATTACTTTATCTGTTAAAAGTTGTCTTCTTGTATTCTCCAGATGATAAAAAAAAAAAATCTGATAGATTTAGCTGTAGAGTTTAATACGCTGCTCTCATAGTCTGTTGATGTTTAGCGTATCCTGGAACACGCTCCATTTGATCTTTTATCTATTATTTTTTTAAAAAAAGGACCTTTTAAACTAGTCATAACATAATCCAACTTTAAAACCCCCCTCATGCCATTTCTCACCACGTTTCACTGTTTCCAGTTTCTTCAGTGAAGCTCAGGTTCTTTGTGCTTAATTCAGTTTTGCAAACTGTGGCCTTGAAATTTAAATCTATTGTCATCAGACCATAAGATCATCTCAATTAAGATTTAGGGATTTTGTTAGTAATGCCTGAATGTGTTTTCTAAATGCAAACCCTAAACCCAAATTACAGCTTTTCATAAAAACTGGTACAGCTTCAGTGTTGCTGTTGCTCTTGGTGACGTTACTGACCAGTTTTCAACCAGTATATATATATATATATATATATATATATATATATATATATATATATATATATCACGCTGAAGCGTCCTTGGGCGAGATATAAGC